GCGCTGCGCTGCGCCTGGAACCTCCCCCAAGAACGACATTAAAGACCCCGTGGCATCATCAGAGAGAATAGAGGCGACCGCATCGCCCGGTGTCGTCACGTCGAATTCAAGCGACGCACCCACGGGCACAGTCTTTATACCCTTCACCCATCGACTCCCTTCACGTCGAACTTATGCGACTGACGATTGCTAAACGCATGCGCCGTGATCGTCGAGGGCGCTGATTCAATTGTGGTGGATACCGGGAGCGAGCGCGCGCGCGCGCGCGTGTGCGTGTGTGTGTACGTGGGAGATTTTCGCACTCGGGCATTAAAGTCGCCCGATAAAGGTGACGACATCCCGAGGGCCCACTTTAGCCAACACCTGGACGAGGAGGTCATTGAAGGCATCTGACTCATCAGCCTAGCCTGCGTCCCACCACGGACTTTCGTCTTTGGTGAGGGCAAACAACACAGCCACCACCACCACCACCTTTTAGCCTGTTGTTGATGGGGATGCGAGCCCACAACAACCGGGGGGACTCACAACTGCCACGCTCCCACGCGCCCTTCGTTTTTTTTTTATTGAGAGGAATGGCCACTCCCTGTTCCGGTGACTTTAATCGTTTCCCCGTGGAGAAGACTGTCCACCCCTCGTGGTGACAGGAGCCAAAACCTATCCACCGGGCCTCCTGTATTCCATTGCCTCTGTCTGCCACTGTTGGTGGCCGTGAGCACGCCAACTGACTGACGTCAGCCTTTCCCCCCCATGGCATTGCTCACAGGACCACACTACAGTGTTACCGTGTGGTTGCCCGCGGGGGTAATTATACCAGACACACGGACAGATACAAGGCAAAGAGCCCCCGTATAGCCTTAATGGACTTTTAGGACAGGTGCTGTGACCGATCAACTCTGAAGGCCGGCACGGCGCACGAGGTGGCGATGTTTACACGCCACACCAGGTACTCGTTTGAGGCTGAGTTGACCTAGGGGTTGCCCAGGACAGGTGTAAATAATCGTCACTGGTGTTGGCCATGAGTGGAAATCGAACTTGAGTCACCAGGTGCGTAGCGCAGCGCGCTGACCACTGCGCCACCGCTCCCCACGGACAGATGCCAACACCACAACCAGGTGGTGAGCACGAAGGTCCGTAGCACATTGCACAAACCGGGCCGCCACCACCCCAGCCGCAATCTTTCATAAAACAGCCGCCATTTGTCACTGTCACAAGCGCATCACTAATGCGCTTGTGACAGACTAGGTGCACCTTGAGGCCACGTGAAGCCTGGAAAGCACGCTTTTGGCAGCAGGTCATGGAACAGACCTACAGTGAGGAAAAAAAGTATTTGATCCCCTGATGATTTTGTACGTTTGCCCACTGACAAAGAAATGATCAGTCTATAATTTTAATGGTAGGTTTATTTGAACAGTGAGAGACAGAATAACAACAAAAAAATCCGGAAAAACGCATGTCAAAAATGTTATAAATTGATTTGCATTTTAATGAGGGAAATACGTATTTGACCCCCTCTCAATCAGAAAGATTTCTGGATCCCAGGTGTCTTTTAAACAGGTACCGAGCTGAGATTAGGAGCACACTCTTAAAGGGAGTGCTCCTAATCTCAGCTTGGTACCTGTATAAAAGACACCTGTCCACAGAAGCAATCAATCAATCAGATTCCAAACTCTCCACCATGGCCAAGACCAAAGAGCTCTCCAAGGATGTCAGTGATAATATTGTAGACCTACACAAGGCTGGAATGGGCTACAAGACCATTGCCAAGCAGCTTGGTGAGAAGGTGACAACAGTTAGTGCGAATATTGGCAAATGGAGGAAACACAAAAGAACTGTCAATCTAGATTTGAAGCTTTCGTAACTGCAAGGATCCATACTCTTTGGTTCTATTCGGTAAAGTCACGTAGGTAAAAAATAAAACAACAAAAATCACGACGTTTCGGCCACAACACAAGCGGCCTTCATCAGGTGAAGGGACCAGCGCTGTCCTCGAGACAGGCTGGTCCCTTCACCTGATGAAGGCCGCTTGTGTTGTGGCGAAACATCGTGATGTTTGTTGTTTTATTTTTTCCTACGTGACTTTAACTGTCAATCTTCCTCTGCCTGGGGCTCCATGCAATATCTCACCTCGTGGAGTTGCAATGATCATGAGAACGGTGAGGAATCAGCCCAGAACTACACGGGAGGATCTTGTCAATGATCTCAAAGCAGCTGGGACCATAGTCACAAAGAAAACAATTGCTAACACACTACACCGTGAAGGACTGAAATCCTGCAGCGCCCGCAAGGTCCCCCTGCTCAAGAAAGCACATATACATGCCTGTCTGAAGTTTGCCAATGAACATCTGAATGATTCAGAGGACAACTGGGTGAAAGTGTTGTGGTCAGATGAGACCAAAATGGAGCTCTTTGGCATCAACTCAACTCGCCGTGTTTGGAGGAGGAGTAATGCTGCCTATGACCCCAAGAACACCATCCCCACCGTCAAACATGTAGGTGGAAACATTATGCTTTGGGGGTGTTTTTCTGCTAAGGGGACAGGACAACTTCACCGAATCAAAGGGACGATGGACGGGGCCATGTACCGTCAAATCTTGTGTGAGAACCTCCTTCCCTCAGTCACGGCATTGAAAATGGGTCGTGGATGGGTATTCCAGCATGACAATGACCCAAAACACACGGCCAAGGCAACAAAGGAGTGGCTCAAGAAGAAGCACATTAAAGTCCTGGAGTGGCCTAGCCAGTCTCCAGACCTTAATCCCATAGAAAATTTGTGGAGGGAGCTGAAGGTTCGAGTTGCCAAACGTCAGCCTCGAAACCTTAATGACTTGGAGAAGATCTGCAAAAAGGAGTCAGACAAAATCCCTCCTGAGATGTGTGCAAACCTGGTGGCCAACTACAAGAAACGTCTGACCTCTGTGATTGCCAACAAGGGTTTTGCCACCAAGTACTAAGTCATGTTTTGCAGAAGGGTCAAATACTTATTTCCCTCATTAAAATGCAAATCAATTTATAACATTTTTGACATGCATTTTTCTGGATTTTGTTGTTGTTATTCTGTATCTCACTGTTCAAATAAACCTACCATTAAAATTATAGACTGATCATTTCTTTGTCTGTGGGCATTCGTACAAAATCAGCAGGGCATCAAATACTTTTTCCCTCACTGTACCTTTATGTGAGTTGAGACACACGTAAAATGTTCCTTTGTTGATCTGTGAGCTACTTATATAATTCAGTCTGGTTCAACCCAGGATGAATTGTAGTGCTGTTAGCGAGCTCCTATGAAGGCCTGTACGGCGTACGAGGGGGCAGGTGGCCAGCACCACGCCCAGCCACCTTTGTCTCTCCAGTGGCGATGTTTTACCCACTGCACCCGGATACTTATTTGAGGCTGAGTCGTCGTAGGAGTGACCCAGGACCGGATAAAATAATCCTCACCACCACTCCCCACATACGCACAGTCACTCTCTCTCTCTGTATAAATGATTTTATAGACGCCTGGTGTAAAAAAAAAAACTTCTACCAGCACAGCGATAAATCCGCGCTCCCCAGAGTCCCCGCTTGAGTTGAGAGGCCGCGGGGTCACGACCCCGCTTCCCTCTGCGTCCCGGGGCGGGAGTGGGGGTGTCTGTGTGGTCTCAACCCAACCCCAAAACCGCAGGAGGAGCACGAGCCTCCTTCATCGGGCCAAACAGTTTTTACTCGCTGCTGGGTAAAATTGACGTGGAAAGCTATTAGACCTGATGGGTTAAAGCGTAAATCTACCTGCAGTACCGCACTCACTTGCACTTCCACCTGTACTAACCTGAACTCCCCTGTGCTCAAATTGCACTTCCAATTGTACGGAAATGAACTCACCTATACTCACTTTCACTTTCACTTGGACTCACCTGCACTTCCACCTGTACTAACCTGAACTCACCTGTGCTCACCTGCACTTCCACCTGTACTCGGCGCTTAATTTATCACTTTATATTTTCCGGAACACTGTTAGGCTAGTTTCGGAGTGGGAATTATCGGTGTAAATAACTACCACAAGAGTACAAGGCACGCCTATCCATAATAACCATACATTGCTGTACCCGATATTCCTAGAATCATATGAATATATTTATACCAATTAGATGGACAAAATAAGGCTAGATGGATGCGCAGAGACAACTTAGTTAGGAACTGTTCCACCTGATATAAACTGCCATACTGAGCTCTATAATGGCCGCGTTATAATTACCACAATAGAGCTAAACCTCACACATCCATTGATTTCTACATATCTCGTTGGCACTGCACGACTGATCCACTTCGATGTGACTGACTAACGCTTACCTGCCTACTCATCCTTACAGGATACAATTACACTCACCAACCCATTCACCTCTGCAATGTAGAACTTACAATTCACGTATCAACTCACCTCTAGTGAAATTGCAAACATATGCTACTAAGCTCACCTCCATGGAACTTACAAATACAAGAACCCCCGTATAGCCTTAACAGACTATTGGGGCAAGTGCTGTTAGTGAGCACCTATGAAGGCCGGCATGGCACGCGAGGGGGTGGGTGGCCAGCACAACGCCTGGCCGCCTTTGTCTCCCCAGTGGCGATGTTTACACAGAGGCGCAGGACCGGTTAAAATAATCGTCACCGGTGTTGGCCGTGAGCAGGAATCGAACCCGGGTAGGCCGGGTTCGTAGCGCAGCACGCTAACCGCTACACCACCGCTCCATGGAACTTACACTCACTGATTCACCTTCACACCTCTACAGGCTCGACTTGCACTGACCAAAGCCACTCACGCCGACAATGGAAACGGCCTCGGCTCACAAACTCGCTCGCACTGCATACGACTCGGCGAGCACCCATCTACCCACTCACGCCTACGAGAACCCACGCTCACGTTACTCAACGTGACGACGGCTGCTCCGTCGTGGGCAGTTTGGTATTGGAGTCCGGGATCGCCATCACGAGTGTACGAGTGCAGGTGCGGGCCGGATTCGAACCCAGGTTTTGTCGGCGGTGCTGGCTCGGTGCCTCTGACCTCTGAGCCACCTCGGCTGCTTGTCTCTCCCAGCATCTGCCACCACGCGTGTGCGTCAACACCGCGGGCGCCGCGAATCTGGGGGGGGGGGGGGGGTGGGGGTGGGGACGCGCATCCATCCATTACCCCGACTCGCATAGTGCGCGACCCCCATATGCTTCTACAGCGTAACTCCGCAGTTTAGGGGGCATTACGAATCCTCCATTAACATGCAATATGCGACGTGCCGGGCAACGGCTCTCCAACGTGCGCTGTGAAGGAGGACCATTATTCTAAATTGTCGCCCATTATATATAATTTTCAGGGGTTTTTTTTGTTGTTGTCTAAGGTCGCATTGCTATTGACTGATGTGTTGTGTTCGGTGTTGGTGACGGGCGCTCGTGCACCGCGGTCAGCGCGGCATCAGCCAACGCCCCCCTCGTGTATCGATTCGCACGGGATAAGCATAAACTCCGCTGTAAATAAAATAGCGTGTGCGTCCGTTGGCCCGTGGTCGTCGCACACCGATATTACTGTTGTTGTTTATTATTATTATTAAGGAGCACGCGCACCGAGCAAATAAACTCCGCGCGCCGGCTTTGACATTCTGAGTCACGGCGGCAGCATTTGCCTGACAAGCCTGACCCTGCTGGTGATTGCCCAAAAGGTCGAAACCAGGTCCAGAGTTGGTACTCGCCGCTGGATAATATTGGTGTGGAAAGCCAATAGGGCCCATGGATTAAAGCATAATTATATCTCCATGTGGGAGACACAGAATGGAATCGTGATTGTGTTTGCCTTCACGCCATAACTCTCCGCCAACAACCGAGTCGGTGATCGATCGCCCGTGCATTCATGTGGCTCGCGATACGGGCAGCGAGCATCGCGCGACAATATATCGATGTTCGTTGGCGGGTTTGTTTTTGTTGTTGTTGTTGTTGTAATCGTTGTCGTCGTCGTCGATTCATGGCAAAATGACACTGCTAGCTGTTTCGCTTCGACTGACAGGGCGGGTTGAACTGCAGGACAAAAACGGAATGAAAGAGCGATACGAGGACCAATAAAAAAAAACTTAACACGTTCGTCCATAACTTCCCTGGCCTTAAATAAAACAAAATAAGAACAAAATGGAAAGGCGACGTTTCGGGCAATGACTTTTCTTCATTGCACATACATAGCGAGGATAGAGCGACAGAGTGGCTAGTAGGGGTTGGAGAATGTACTTACCACCACAATAGGACGGAATGATAAAAAAAAATCAATAAAAATTTCCTGATGACACTAGATTATTGTCGGAAAGGGTAAAACCTCTTCTTACTTTTCATACTTTGCTACTGGCAAAAGTTCTCATCATATAGTTGCTCACCCCGAGTTATAAATGCTCTAATACGTGCATTGTCTTTGTACTGCTCTCTGTTCTGGCACTGCTGGTGAGACTAGGCCGTAAAGAAGTCTGTCTCTGGTGTAGGCCAATCAGTTTCAAAGACAATGCATCATAATATTATCAGAGCCATGTTTGTTCGCATGTTCACCATTCCGTGTGGTTAATTCAGACTTGATTCCTTGCAAAAGGCTGCCATTTGTTGGTGTTTGAGCATCTGAACACTCCCTGTGTTAGTGCCAGAAAGGGTAAAACCTCTTCTTATTTTTCATACCAACTTATACATTGGCATCCGGGATCCCAAAAAATCGATTCGTTTCGAATAGCGGACATTCCTCGACTCGCTGGGGCGGGTGGGTTGGGTCGGTGGGTGAGTGAGTGAGTGAAATCCGGACTACAGCTGCTCTGTAGCTGTGGCGACAGTCTTAGACTGCAATGTGCAAGTAGGGCAGGAGCGTGGAGCAGTGAGTTGGACCGATTGTGACCGAACAGCAATTATGCTCTGGGTTCGGCCTCCTCAACTCTGTGCGCTGTGTGTGTGCGTGCGTGGAGTTTGCAACGTTCTCCACCTGCTCTTGCGTGGGTTCCCTCCAGGTCCCCCGGTTTCCTCCCATAAGCGACGAAACAAACAAACTTGCAATGGGACTGGTATCGGTCAAAACATCCCAATGCCGGAAAGTTTTCTGTAATTTGCTCAATGGGGATGACATACTGTACACGTAGCAGCAACATCGCACACCCCCCCCCCCCCCTCTTTCCCTACTGAGAAAAAAAACACTTGGCATAACAAGAGTCGTGAGACTCATGCGAGACTTTCCTGGGCAAACAAGCAAAGTGATCCTAATAATGTAAAACGCAACAGTCGCGCTGAAATTGAAGGCTCGAGAGGAGAAAATATAATACAAGCTGGCAAATTAGTCTGTTTCGGCAGCCGCTGCTACGTTCATTAAAACATCTCAACAGCTTCATGAACGAATTCTCATTAACACCTAGTCGGGCATTGGAGCTGGTGATCTGCGTGGTAAGTTGAAGTCTGGAGTGGCTGAACGGCGTGGTTGCATGAGCGTGAGTGCTGGTCAACTACGTGTGTGTTGAGTTTAGCTCTTGGAATTGGTGAGCTATGCGGTGAGCCGTGTCAGCAGGTTGGTGTAGGCCGGAAGTCGTAAGTAACGAGAAGATGCATTTCTATCGAATTGGATAACAACAACAACAACAAAAACGCAATATCTCAAGAGCCGCAATGCATGTGAATTAGAGACGGTGATCCTTCAATAAATAACGTCACTTAGCATGCTTAAAGAGCCGCGTGCAGACTCCGAGAGCCGCAGGTTTTGCCGATCCCCCCCACCCCCTCCCGGTGTTGGCGTTGTGTGGCGTCCTTGTGATCACGTTCCAGAGCGTGACTCCGATGGACTCTCACACGGGCAGGACACAGCCCAGTTCTTCCGGGCTAAATAATACATAGCACGGGTCAGGGGCTCCCGCGTGAATACAATTACGTTATGGTCTTTTCGCACAATGGAGCTTCCGGATAAATGTTTACCAGCAGCAATCGGTCTGAGAATTGAACGAGCCCTGGGTCGGTTTCAACTTTCCGAGACTTATCAGCAGGGTGAGTGTGCGGTCAGTTAAAAAAAAATGCTTATGGAAAAAATATGTATATATATTGGTCCCAAAGCACCCATTGGGCTGTAGAATTTACATTCAATTGATGTTGTGGTAATGCGTGTATTTAAAATTATGATATTACCCACGGACTTCTGCTGCGATATCTGCACCGATTGGGCACCCCCCCCCCCCAACCCCCATCCTTTATTTTACACCAACAAACCTGCACTCACCAACGTGCTGGATTATGGTCGACCAAGGCCGTAATTATAATATATTGGGGGGGGATACCCCCCCCCCAATATTCAAATATGCTCAAAATGTCCCCCCCCAATATATTGCTATAAAAATTGCTATGCTATGTAAATAAAAAAACACGTTGCTAAACCTTGGCCACAATATCTGGACTTGTCTTCATATAAATCAATGCATAGATTTCTGTTTAAATTATTGTGGTTATGGTTGTACTTTATTAATCCCTAATCTCTGCCATTGCATACAATGAAACAAGAAATGGTAAAAAAGTAAAAACAGAGCAATGTCATACAATACACTTTTCAACATTATGGTAAAAAAAGTCCATCCCATGTGTTCGTGAATCTTTTAAAATATTTTAGGCAGGAAATGCGTTTTCAAATTTAGATATTTTTCTGGGTTGGGACCACCAGACGCCCTGGGACATTTGGTCCCCCCATTGTTGACTCCATGGCCACGGCCATGTGGTCAACCAACACCCCCCCCCCTCCCATGACCGACACGGCATGCGGAGGGAGAGAGGTCCTGATCTAGCCGTGGATCGACAACATCGCCGACAAGTCCTGTGGACGTCGTTGTAACGTTACTCGGGTTTTCACTCTTCGCGGGGGTGTTTATTTTTGAACGGGCAATTACACTGTAGCTGATAACCGTGGATATTTGGCAGGCGGCGATGTCCCACTTAGCGAAAGCGATCAGGCAATTTCACTTAATCAAAACAATAGGGTGCGATTGCGGCTCGCGGTGCTTTAATCACAGGCTACTTCGGACGACCTTGCAGTAAGGACTTACACAGACAAAGATCCCCCGTGTAGCCTTCAACGGACCGTTGGGGCAAGTGCTGTTCGCAGAGCACCTGTGGAGGCCGGGCACGGCACACGATAGGGATGGGTGGCCAGCACCACGCCCTGCCGTCTTTATCTTCCCCGTTGCTGACGTTTATTACACCCTACACCAGGTATTAATTTAAGGGTTAGTCGACCTAGGGGAGGCCCAGAAAGGTATCAAATAATCACCACTGTCATATATCGTGAGCGGGAATCGAATTCGGGTCACCAGGTTTGTATCGCAGTGCGCAAACCACTGCACTACCGCTATACATACAAACATTTAAATACATATGCACGCACGTACATGCATGTATGCTTACACGTAAACATTTGGACACACGATGAATAATAACGCTCAAGGGTCCACACACAGGTTTACAAACCCCCGTTTCAAAGCACCATCTATTGGCCATTTCGCCGTCCAGTGAGACTCTGGAATGTCACACATCTCTACGTGATCCACCAACCCTTTGCCTCTAAAGCGTTCCATAATCACATGCGTGCTCCTATTCACCATCATCATCAATCAGCCATGGTCAATCGCCTGCTGGATAAAAGCCTCCTCTCGCAATTCTGTGTTATAATAATCCACCCAGTACCTGTACATCAGTTGATTTAATTGTTCCAATTCATTATTATTACTTTGTTGTAATAAATGCATTTAACATGCGGCGAAAGCAACAATGCGATGCGATTTCATATTTGAATAAGTGGAGTCATATATCCTGCTTCTAATTGTAAATTCAATGAATGATGATGACGGTAGCTCACAACTCACGGTGTGAAGATGATGGAGAGAGAGAGCAGGGGAGACAGGTAAAGAGAGAGAGGGAGGGGGAAACAAGAGAGAGCAGAGACGGGCGGGAGAGGGGGGGGCAGAGAGGACAGACAGGTTGAATCGGGGAGATGAGAGTGAGAGATGAGAGAGAAAGAGAGAGGGGGGAGGAAGATGAAGAGAGAGGGGAGATTACCGACGCGAGATTGAGAGAGAGCCACGAGGCAGCGGCGGACAAGTTCGATTCCTCACGAGGGTGTGCGCTCAAGTGCGCTCAAGTGAGGGAAGAGAGAGAAGAGAGAGGGGGGGAGAGGAGGAGCGGGGACATTGACAACTACAGGCAATGTGACAAACAGGGACACGCGGAGCCGACAAAAGCACGCACGGCAGCCTCGCCTCGGGGAAGGAGAAAAAGGAGGAGGTCTTTCTCTCCCGCGTTCTTTTTTTACATGGAAAAAAAAACGAAAGTCGTCGGATTCCGCATGGCTCCTCGCCTCGTGACGGCTCCTGACAAGCGAAGCCAAGCTGCGCCTCGCTTCGCCTAGCGCGTGGGCAGAAGACGCCACTGGCATCCCGCGCGGGGCCGAGATCGGAGGGGTTCGGGGGGCCCGGATCGGAGGGGGTTCGCGACCCCCATTGGGTCCTCCTGTGAGCTTCATCTCAACCCATTGTGGGTCACGGGACCGCGTGGTCACAATCAGGCGTCTTGTGTTTTGTTTTATTTCATCATCACGGTTGCTGAGCACAGGAGCCTCCATTTTCACCCACCCGAAACGTCAAGCGGCCAGCAACAAACAGCACTATTAAAGTTGTAATAGATGAAGAGTTGCCACGATTGTTGAATTGAGCAAGGTTATTTATTATACGAACGAAAGAAGAAGAAACGATGATGATGATGATGATGGGAGAGGAAATCAAAGTGGAGCAGTGCCAGGGAGGAAGCATACAGATAAGTGTTGTGACCTACAGTGTGTTGAGTGGGTGGGTGGGTGAGTGGTAGGTGAGCGGGTGGGTGGGTGAGTGGGTGACCCGTAGGTGAGTGAGTGGGTGACAGAGTGGGTGAGTGAGTGGGTGACCCGTAGGTGAGTGAGTGGGTGACAGAGTGGGTGAGTGAGCAGCTTGCTGAGACCTGCAGTGTGGTGAGTGAGATGTTGTGACGCGCAAGTGTGCTAGTGGTGGTGGTTGAACGCAGTGTGGGGTGATATCAGACAATGTCATCTACGTTGAACTTCTTTCGCAGCGTACGTAGCCAACCGCGCCAATCGGAGGCGCGCCACAAACCTGAGATTCGCGTGCAGCGGAAGAAAGGCAGTGGCCGCAAAACCGCCGCTGCGCTTTAGCGCTCTGCTCTCTCGTCTCAGCGCGCCGCTATGAACCCGCACAGATTGGCGTAGTGAAGTATGGTCAAATAATCCCCTAAACCCCAAAGTGCATTGACAATGGGCTGCACGCGCACGCTCCTGTCCACGCCTCCGTACTCTCTCTCTCTCTCGCCGCTCCTGTACATTGAGGAGGCACGCGCAGGCAAACTTCGCGTTCGTTCGCCAAACGTCCCGAATGTAGCAGGGACCCCTCCTAAAACCCCGGCCCTCGAGACTCAGCGAGGGTTTTTTTGTTCTTCGATCGTGATCAGCCACTGCCGGACGAAGGCCCCCCCCCCCCCCATCGGGACGTCGCCATCTCTCGCGATCACTCGACGCCACAATCCCTCGAGCGCAGTGGCTCTGCGTTGCAAGGACCGCGGGCTACTGACGGCCCCCGTTGGCCTTTTAGTGCGGCCCCCTGACGTGCGGCCCCCTCGACAATAACGCAAATGGTGAAAACACTCCCCAACCATCATCATCATCGTCGTCGTGCTGCTGTCAAACCCCAACGGTTTCAAATGTGTGGCGGCCCTAACACGCTGCTGATGTCTCATCGGCGAAGTGCACCCCAGTGAAAATTAGTGAGGACCGCTGCTCTCGTGCCTTTCACGCCAGCTGATCGCGACGCTTCCATCTCCTCGTTGGCCGTTCCCTGGGGCGCGTTACTCTCCTTTGGCTGCCACTCGGACCTTAGTCTTTAACCGCCGGCCGACAATTAATCTCAGCGACGGCGTCCCTGACCCAAGCCGACGTCAATTTTATTTTTGGTGCCAGCTAAATATGACGAATGATGCAAATACATAATTATTGGGAGTAATAGTAGTTGCATCGTTATGTTACGGGGAATGGGCGATGTGTATGGCTGCAAGAGATGGGATGGGTGTGATGTGATTGGAGACATCGCTGGTCAAAGGTAGACGAAGGAGGCTATGTCTTCGGTAAATGTGACCTCCAATTAATCGACTCATCTAATGCCGTCGCGTGCGGTGGGGGTAAAGCGTGGCTACTCCCGCATCTTCCCAGACGTCTGGACAACGTGGACGCGTAGGGTCAAAAACCCTCTCGAGGCACTATCCCTCCCTCCCTCTCTCTCTCGAGCTCCCTTCCGTAGAGGCCCTTCCGCCAGCAGTGGAGTGAGCGAGAAATGACATGGCAGCGCCTTTGACCTATCTACTCGATTTGTTTCTGAAGCTCGCGATACGCGCACGATGCGTGCGTTGTATGGCGCAATGGGTTCATCATGGTTCCTCCAGCCACTAGATGCCCCTACGTTTACAACAAAGTCGCTAGGGCAGAATTAACACACCCCCCCCCCGTCCCCCCCCACCACCACCCCCTTGTCTCAAGCCTGCAGGGCTTAAAGAGATGACCCAGCCATGCGTGTGGGAGGAAACCAGTGGTCCCCGGAGGAAGACCACACGTACAGGTGAATAACGCTCAAAGCTCCGCACGGATAGGTTCAAGAATGCGTATTGATGTGCTGCCATCTCGTGGCCACCTCGCAGGCCTAAAACCTTCGCCATCTGTCATTAGCCAGAGAAGTCTCCCAGGCTCAAAACAAAGCAAAACTGCTGAGCTTGCGCGATCCGACGAGATCGCAGTCGGGGTGCGTTTGTACGCCGAACGGTGCGAACAAGCGGACGCAGAGCGATTCAGACACTCAGGCAGGAGCAGCAGAAGAGAAGGGGCGAGCCCTGCGTGCAGTTGCGGGTGGGAAGGGTCAGGCACGGCACATTGCCGTCCGTGACATCGCCTGAGTCGGTGGCGCACTGGTTGGAGGCTGGCACAATCCCTGCTGATCAAGCTCAATGGAGTGGAATCTACTGCGGCTGCAGGATCTTGTTCAATGAACGAATGCCGACCGATACGTTTTCACGTAATATATTCCGCATTTTTTTTGTCCATTATTTTGGCAATGTATTATTTCGTTCTTAATGTGACGTGCCTATCCGGAGAGGTAACAATCTTTTTCTACGTATATGGCGGTTGAAATATGTAATTAATTCATCACAAATATCGTGTCCGCTCAGCAAAAGCGGCCACGCGGCATCACATTTAACGGTGCCCCCACCCCCCACCGACCCCGCATCCGAACTCGAACCCTCACGATTCCAACTATCAGGCTGTAGGTCATCCCACACCCCCACTGTGCGTGCTCACGGCAAGTTGCCTTCGTCCGCTAAAAAGTTAAAACTTTTTGTTGTTGTTGGTGCTTTTAACGCGTATCTCATCATCGCAGTGACCCACCCCCCCACCCACCCACCAACCCCTCTCTCCTGATTTCCCGACTTTCAAGGTTCGAATCTCGGTCCAGGGAGATGCGGTCCGACCACGACCGCCGCCTCTCCCACGTGGCGATGTTTTCCTCTTCAGTTTGCGAAACGATCCATTCGACGCAAAATTATCTGGTTAAGAATTTGAGGACGCAACCGGTGCGTTTTCTTTCTTTTAGAAACAACACAACTCGCCACCACATTCAACAACAACACTGCCCGGAAATAGAAGACTATCTCTCTATATATACTGTGTGTGTGTATACTGTGTGTGTGTATACTGTGTGTGTGTATACTGTGTGTGTGTGTATATACTGTGTGTGTATACTGTGTGTGTGTGTGTACTGTGTGTGTGTATACTGTGTGTGTGTGTATACTGTGTGTGTGTGTATATATACTGTGTGTATACTGTGTGTGTGTATACTGTGTGTGTGTATACTGTGTGTGTGTGTATGCTGTGCGCATATATATTTTACGATGCTTTGTGTGATACCCCGTGAGCCGTGGAGCACATGCACAAGCAACACAAACAAACTCAACGCATTCGCCTATACTACTTGAAAAGAAAATAAATAATCGGCGACGTTTCGGACAATGGTTCTGCTTCATCGCACCGTTGCAGTACAAACAAATATACCGTCAGGATAGCGTTTCTTTTCTGTAGAAGAGCCACTGGCCGAAACGTTGGCTTGCTAGCCTATATAATTCGTGCTTGTCTGGTAGAAGGCAACGGTGCTTTCGCTGAAGGTGATGAGATTGTTGAATGTGCACAGCGCCAGCGCAGTCCGTTAATTTGTCTGAATTATCATCGCGAGACGGCGCGGAGAACACAATACCATCACCATCACTACCACCATCACCACCATCACCACCACCACCATCACTACCACCATCTCTACCACCATCACCACCATCCACCTCATCACCGTCGTTATCCTAAGACGGAGACTGTCCCCCGTGAGCTGTTCCGTGTGTGTGTGTCTTTGTGTATATGGTCCGTGTGTGTGTCTGTGTGTACATGGTGCGTGTGGGTATCTTTGTGTACTTGGGTTACGTGTAACAAACCTGTGAGTAACGTGCTGTCATAGACGGACAGGCAGACACAGACAGACAGACAAATACACAAGCAGGCCGGTACAAAGGCACGGACAAACGGACAGGCAGACAAACAGACAGACAGACATGCAGACAGATAGTCAGGGAGACAGACAACAGCACAAGCTCTCGCCACCTACCTGGGCGATCAATGCGCCTGGTTCCCAGAATCGCTTTGGTTCTTGTTCAGTCGCAGAATCGCGATGAATAAATCTTCACGCCTCGTGCACCGAGAGAGAGAAACAGAGAGCCAGACAGCGAGTTGTGTGCATGTGTGTTTGTGTGTGCGAGAAAGATAGAGCTCTGTGCATGTGCGCGTGTGAGTCTCAGCGACAGAGATGTGCACGCGCGCGCATGTGTAAGAGCGAGAGCTCTGTGTGTATGTGAGTGTTAGTGAGAGAGGCTGGGGGAGAGAGCGGAGAGAGAAGAGAGCGGAGAGGGAGAGGAGGAGAGGGACGCGCGTGACAGGCGCGGTCTCGACTCGCGCGCGCTCGCCCCACGCTGCTCCGCCGAACGCGTGGAAGCGCCAAGGAGCTAGCGACCAATGGCGCTCGTGCAGGAGGAGTCTGGTAGAGGAGGAGCAGGGGGACGTGGTGCTGGTGGAGGGGGGGGAGCAGGAGGGGATGATTGCGAGGAGCGCACGCGTGGGGTCCGCGATGCTCGTGTCTTTGTGGGGGATGGGAGGATGAGAACAGCCGCGCCCCGATGTGAGCCCCGCGCGAGGTAGAATGGCTCTTCGACTTCTCCTCCCCTTCCACCTCCTCTACTTCCTCTGCTGCCATCGCCGGCAGCCGTCACCTCCCACAAACTCAGAGACAAAGGTCGTCTGCATTCCCATTTAACAGACTGTTGGGGGAAAGTGCTGTTAGCGAGCACCTATGAAGGACGGCATCGCACACGAGGGGGTGGGTGGCCAGGAACACGTGCCCGGCAGCCTTTGTCTCACTATCACCGCCCGACCACCACCACGACCACCACACTTACCCACTCCTATCACCACGCGCACTGTCCACCACCACACACTCACACACTCGTGATTTCACCTTATCACCATCACCTCCACCCAATTATATCACACGCTCACCCACTACTATCAGCACCAATGTTAGTCACTTACTCCGACAATCATTAACACCAATGCACACTCACCACCACTCGGCATTCACTCCCTATCATCACCACCACCACCACCACCACACTCACCCACTCACCAGCACCACCCTCACTATGTCAACCGCATGAAACAGAACATCAATCAATATAATCACATCGATCACCACCACAAGCAGCAGCAGCGCATTCACCACTACGACCACAGACACTGGCACCATTATCACCGGCAGCAGCACCACCATGAACGCATTCGGCATCGCCAAAATTCATCACCATGAACCACCCACCCCGCCACAAGCACTGCATTGAAATACACACGAAGAGACAGAGATAGAGAGGGACACACGCGCGCACAGACACCGTACACAAATGCAACAGTATAGACGCGCACAAAGACAACGATCCTATGTATAGCCTTAACAGACTGTTGGGGCAGGTGCTGTTTGCGACACTTATGTAGGTGGCCAGGATCACGCCAGACTGCCTCTGTCTCCCCAGTGGCGATGTTTAAACACCGCACCGGGTATTCATTTGAGACTGAGTCAACCTAGGGGAGGCCCAGGATCGGTTCAGATAATCGTCACTGGCGTTGGCTGGAATAGAACTCTGGTCGCCGGGTTCGTAGTGCAGCGCACTAGCCGTTATACAAAGACACAAAGACACGTAAACAGACAAAGACCCGCGCACACACACAACGACACAAAGACACTCAGCAGAGGTCTCACTCCGAATCAGTCGAGCGGCAATATCTTTTCATCGGTTGCGTAACGCTGTGTGGAAGCTACCTGGTCTGTCGCTCCGCACTAAGCTTCAGGTCTTCTCGGCCACGGTCATTCCCTCCCTTCTCTACGCTTGCGAAACGTGGACCCCCCTAATGGAACATCTTCGCCGGTTAGAAACATTTAGGCTGGCCTGCCTACGATCCATCCTGGGTTTAACCAGACTGGATTGTGTGAGGAGCTCACAAATCCTTGAAAGATCTGGGCAGGGTCCCATCGGTGAGCTCCTCCGGCAGGCAAGGCTGCGATGGCTGGGTCATGTAGCCCGCATGCCCAGCCACCGCATGCCGAAACAGCTTTTGTTTGGCCGGATTGAGGGGGCTAAGCGGGCGCGGCACGGGCTAGAGAAGAGATGGAGTGATGTGGTACAGGAGGACGTGGAGCTGAGTGGACTTGCCGATGACTGGTACCAGCGGTGTCAAGATCGGCCTCTGTGGAGGAGGCTCGTGAAGGATGCTACTGGGCAGTTGGAGGCAGTCGCCCTCCAACAACAACGGAGGGCGGAGGAGCGACGCTCACAACAGCGAGCGGAGCGCCGGGTGGCTAAAGCACAGCAGGTTGGCACAGTAGGGGGCACAGGTGGTGCATCAGCCAGTCATCTCAGTCAGTCGACCCGTGGCACCTGGGTCTGCCCCGTGACCTCCTGCCAGCGGGCGTTCGACACTTCACGTGGCCTCAGGGTGCACATAGCCTGGCACAAGCGTCGTGGTGACGTCACCGCCACTTAGTGGCGAATGGCGGTTGTTGTTGTTGTGTGTGTCTGTGTGTGTGTCTGTGTGTGTCTGTGTGTGTGTCTGTGTGTGTGTCTGAGTGTGTCTGTGTGTGTGTGTCTCTATGTGTGTGTGTCTGTGTGTGCGTGTGTCTGGTGTGTGTGTCTGTGTGTGGGGAGCGGTAGTGTAGCGGTTAGCGCGCTGCGCTATGAACCTGGCGACCCGGTCCTGGGCCTCCCCTAGGTAGATTCAGCCTCAAATGAGTACCTGGTGCGGTGGATAAAAACATTGCCACTGAGGAGACTAAGGCGGTCGGGCGTGGTGCTGGCCACCCACCCCCTCGTGTACCGTTCCGGCCTTCATAGGTGCTCGCTAACAGCACTTGCCCCTACAGTCTGTTAAGACTATACGGGGGATCTTTGTCTTTTATCTTTGTCTGTGTGTGTGCGCGCCGGCTTTGCTGCTCACCGGTGATTTGAAAGAAAACGCCGTTAACCCGTTGTTTCGCGCACTCTCGCGGCAATGTTTACACGCACAACACAATGTTCGCTTTGATTTAGATTTTCGCGTGAGACGTTAGCAATTCTGCCCCAAGACATAGGGACGGGAGAGAGAGTTGTTGTGGTGGTGGTGGTGGGGAGCGGTGTCGCAGTGATTAGCGCACTGCGCTACGAACCCGGCGACCCGAATTCGAATCCCGCTCAAGGCCAACACCGGTGACGATTATCTGTGACCGCTTCTGGGCCTCCCGTAGGTCGACTCGGCCTCAAATGAGTACCTGGTGCGGTGTGTAAACATCCACTCTGGGGAGATAAAGGCGGTCGGGCGTGGTGCTGGCCACCCACCCCCTCGTGTACCGTGCGCCCTATCATACGTGGTGGCCTTAACAAACTAGCCCCTGTTCAGGCTATAGGGGGATCTTTGTCTTTGGTAGTGTGTGAGTGGGTGTGTGTAGTTATGTTGCTGGTAGTAGTGTGTGTGAGTGGATGAGTGTGTGTAGGTATGTTGCTGGTGGTAGTGTGTGTGAGTGGGTGAGTGTGTGGAGGTATGTTACTGGTGGTAGTGTGTGTGAGTGGGTGAATGTTTGTGGGTCCGGCAAAAACAACGCCCTACCCAATCAGTGGTGCCGGATGGTAGCGCTGTGGTGGATGCGAGCAATTCCATGGGGGGAACGGCCAATTCCATTCGCCTTTTCCCCTCATGGCGCTTGTAGCCACCACAGTGGCCAATGGGGGCTCTGGACGGGTGCGAGGGGCTTGGTAACCCTTCCACCGTTAACCCAACTACCACTAAAACACGTATTAATAATCTATCTAAGCTTGTACCGGAGGCCCCAGGGGGACAGGCGTCTACGATGTCTCCTGGCCAAACCCCATTTGGCGGAGCTAGGAGACTGAATCCTTACCCTCAGGGTTCCGCCAGAAACAGCAAAAAGCGATTGTGAGTGGCCACGTGGAATGTTTGAACGCTCACTGAGGAGGAGAGACTGCTACTCCTCTGTCGGGAGCTGGACCATTACCGCCTGGTTCTCTGTGGTATTCAGGAGGTCTGGTGGACTGCCTCTGGCTCCTGCCACCATGAGGGGTGGACACTCTACTACTCAGAAAAGGAGACTGCCAAACAACAGGGAGTGGCTCTTCTTCTGAACAAAAGAATGAAGGGGGCATGGGAGCATGGCAGTGAGGTGTGGGAACCTGTAAGCCCCAGGCTACTATGGGCTCGCCTTACCATCAACCAAAGGCGGGGAGTGGTGATCGTGGTTACTTATGTCCCCACCGAAGATGAACATCAGTGGAGTGATGCAGGCAAGGCTAATGAGCCAGATGCCTTCTATGACTTCTTGTGACAGGTGCTTGCTAAAGTGGCCCCTTGGAATAGAGTCATCCGTTTGGGTGACTTTAATGCCCGAGTGGGCCATGATGCTGGCACCTGGTCTGGATTTATTGGAAGGCATGGGCCAGATCAGCTCAATGACGGTCGGAGGCTGCTAGACTTTTGTGCATCCCATGGGCTTGTAATTACCAATATGCTGTTCCAGCATCGGCGCATTCACACAGCAACATGGATGCACACCTGGTCCAAGCAAGAACATCTTCTGAGCTATAGTGATGGAACAGTGGATGCGGGCCCATGTCCTTGACACCAGGTCCTATCGCGGAGCTGATGTGCCCACTGACCACCGCCTTGACATCTGGAAGATGCACCTGCCATTCTTCCACTCCAGTGGTGGATGTACATCCAGGGCCCCATTCAAACCCACGGTGGCCTGGTCTCAGCTAGCTGATGAAAGTTGCAAGTGAGAATTGCATCATCACTTGCAGCTGGGGTTGGCATCATCACCCACTCCTCCTTATGCCGAGGGGAAATGTGCGAGGTTTAGGACTGTGGCTCATGCAGCTACAATGCCAGCTTTGGGTGCACGTTGAAAACTTCGCCAGAGACCCTGGTTAACAGAGGAGGTGTTCCGGCTGACTGAGAAAAAGCATCCCACTTCAGAGAATGAGAAGGCTTACCGCAGAATTCTCTCGGAGGTTTGGAGAGCCGTGTGGCACTGCAAGGATGGGTGATGGTCGCAAGTTGCTAAGGAGATGGAGTCTGCCGCAGTAGCCCGCGATCACAAATCACTCTTTAACTCCTGGTCAAGGCCTATGATACCATCAGTAGGCCTGGGATCTGGGTTGTTCTTCGTGCTTTCAGAGTCCCTGACTCTCTGCTCACAATCATTAAGCACTTTTATGATGGTAGGCAGGCCCGGGTAAAACTATGTGGCTGGGAGTCAGAGCCATTCCCTGTTCACCTTCCGGTGCGGCAGGGTTGTTCTCTGGCTCCTACATTATTTAACATCTATTTCGACCAAGAAGTTCGTGAAGCCTTCGATGACTGTACCGGAGGAATTTCTATCTGGTACAGATACAATGGGAGGCTGATCAATTCCTAGGTGCGGTCAAGGGATGGCTCCGTATTGGTCAACCTGGTTATGTATGCTGATAATCTGGTGATTGCTGCTCACTCAGAGGAGTTGGAGGAGGTGCTGCTAAATCTGGAGCATGCCACTAAGAGGTGGGGCCTTACCATCAGTCCCACCAAAACTAAGCACCTGACTGGGTATTTTGTGCCATCAGAAAACTCCACCCCAACTCCCAATTGGTGATGGGGCAGTTGTGGAGAGAGTGGATATTTTTCCATACCTGGGCA